CCAGAAAGTTTTATTATTCTTAGTAAGAGCAATGCACAGGCAGTGAATCAGTTTATTACCGCACACACCATGAAATGGACAAAGTACTGTGTATTACTCTTCAGTAACCTTTGAGCTGCTTATCATGTCCACCAGCCAGCGAGTTCCTGACACTGCAGTTTGTGAAGCCCAGCAATGTAAAACTCAGATGGACCTAAGGTCGCAAAAGAACAATCTGGATCTAATTTGCCACCGACTCGACTGAGTTGGATAAATTTCCACAGTGATTGCCCTCATCCAGTTGTGTCTTCCTTTTTAGTTCTTCCCCGTTCCTTTGTGATGCTGGATGGATTATTTTGCCTTTGTGCCTGGGAAGGAAAGGCAAAATTCCTTGTAAAGATCTGCGTGTGTCCAGATCTCCGCCATTTTCCTTCTAACTCTATTAGAATATTTTTATGAAAGAAACTGCAAATAGACACCTGGCAACCAATTCTTTCTAAGATACCATTGGATTGCCACCTGTTTCAGAATGCTCCATTCAGTAAGATACTTTTGTAATAGGAGCTTCCTACATACATAAATTTCAGGATACAATTTGACTGTTTAAAATCTGTTTATTTTTTAAATTTTATTTTGTTGTTGAGAATATACACAGCAAAAATACACCCTTCAACAGTTTCTACATGTACAATTCAGTGACATTGATTACATTCTTGGAGTTGTGCAACCATTCTCACCCTCCTTTTCTGAGTTGTTCCTCCCCCATTAACATAAACCCACTGCCCCCTAAGCTTCCTATCTAATCTTTCGAGTTGCTGTTGTCACTTTGATCCCATATAGATAGTTCTTAAAAGAGCATAATGCTCAAGACAGACATTTTTTACTAGTTAAGCTAAACTATTGTTTGGCTTTCAGAAGACTTCAGGGGATATTTTTGGTTTAATGTTTAAAGAGTATCTCAGGGCAATAGTTTCAGGGCTTTATCCAGCGTCCATGGCTCCAAAAAGTCTGGAGTCTATTATAATTTGAAATTCTGTTCTACATTTCCTCCACTTTTGATCAGGATTCCTCTATGGAATCCTTGATCAAAATGTTCAGTAATGGTAGCCAGGTACCATCCAGTTCTTCTGGTCTCATGGCAAAGGAGGCAGTTAGTTGTTCATGGAGGCAATTAGCCACACATTCCATATCCTCCTCATATTCCTGACTCTCCTTCTTCCTCTGTTGTTACAGGTGAATAGAGATCGATTGTTGTGCCTTGGATGGCTGCTTGCAAGCTTTTAAGACCACAGGCACTACGCAACAAACTGGGAGGTAGAACAGAAGCACTAAACACATTATTAGGCCAGTGAACTGGGATGCCCCATGAAACCATGACCCTAAACCTCTAAACCAAGGAACCAAATCCCATGAGGTTTCTGGTTGTACATACGCAGCCTCAGCAGCGACTTTTTTCTTTCTTTTTTTGTAAATATATCACACAACTTTCACCAGTTCAACTTTTTACAGAAAATCTATTTGTTTTTGTGGAAAATTATTATTTACTCCAAGCCCAATGAGGAGTGATTTGGGGGGAGAATTTGCATTAGCTGAACATTTTTTTGCTGATAATTTATAAATATACATTTGCTACTAGGACATCATCAGTACTGAAACATCAATCACTCCTCTCTTTTATAATCCATGAAAAATAGGGAGAGGGAGGAGGAGTCAAATTTGAAGTTTTCCCCTTTCATAGAGCTCTTTCCTTTCACTTTAGGACAAGGACTGTGTCTTCCACACATAGTAGGAACACAAAACATAGCTGTTGAATGAACGTTGGACACTATGAATGGAAGAGATGTGGTTGATGGTTATAGAATGTAAACCGTCATTTAGGACCTGGACATGGAAAGTGAAGGATGCTCCTGTCCCCAGGAGGAGAGGCCAAAGCATTCTAGTCCTACCTGAGGGTGATTTCACCTGGCTGAGGTGATTCTTTGATGAAAAGTCCCTCTCATCACATTGACCTAGTCTCTATGCCTATTCATCATTTATTAAATAGTTATATATGAAATGGCTACAGTGCTCTTTCAGATAGCAAGAGAGACTCAGACTCGTTTCCCTTACCCATATACACATAATCCTTATCTGCAACTCTCTTCTGTCTCTGGTAGGTGTAAGTTCCTTTCTGGAAGGTTCTAGGACCCCATGCCCTGTGTCTTTATTCTCATGCCAGCCACCATCTTGACACTCAAGAAACATTAACTGAGTGATTTTGTGATTATTTAGTTCTTTTCTGTAGCATGAATCCTATCCCTCTCAAAATAGGCATATGTTTCTCTTTCACTTTTGATATTAATGATAGTAATTCTAATAATTTTGAATCATTCTGGATAATAGTTTCAAGGCATTTCTGATCACATAAGTTTGGGGCTCACAGTTTGATCATAGAGTTTCACAAAGCTCAAGCCTTGGCTATTCAACTCCTTCCCATAGTGCATTTACAAGTTAAACCAAAAACCCAATTCATTGGGACAAGAATTATTTATTTCTTGCTTTTGTTTTTCTTGTTGTCTGTGGGATAGGGTGAAGGGGGTACATATAAGAAATGTCACATGTCTGTATTTCCTCCCTCCCTCCCTTCTTTCTTTCTTTCTTGGTTAGTTTTGAATAACCTTAATTTTGAATTGAATATGGCGGGAGGACCATAATCTTCTCAGTGTTTAGGGCTTTAAAAGGTCTCCCTGCAACTTATTTTGAAAAATATCAAACTTTCAGATTGTAAATTACAAGAATAAAACAATGCACACCATATACTCTTCACACGGATACACCAAACATTAACATTTTGCCACATTTACTTTATCTCTTCCTTTTTCTAAACCATTTGAGAGTCAAAGACATCATGATACCACCCCTGAATACTTCAACATGCATCTCCTAAGAACAAGAACATTTTCTTACATAACCATAAAACAACGATCAGTGCAATTATTTAGTAGACCAAGCAGTGGTGGATCCCATTCAAGATCTACCTGAGGCTACTGTGTGAGTAACTTTGTTTACATCATTAGTTCATCCATTCATCCGTCCATCCATTTCTTTGTTCAGCCACCTAGCCATCCTCTATCCATCCATCTGACCATCCACCTCTTAGTTTATATTTCACCAGCCAGCCATTGATCTGCAATCATTGACCCATTCTTTTATCCATCCATCTATCCATTCATCCATCTGTCCATCTACCTAGCCAGTCAGCCATTTGTCTGTCTATCCAATCCTAAGCACATTAGTTGAGTGCCTACTCTGTGGTGCATCCAGGTCAGCTGTTTTACAAAATATATTTAAATTTGGATTTGTCTGACTAGTTCCTCTTGGTAAGAGTCACATCAAATTTTTTTCTGGAGGCAGGGAACAGAAACAGAAAAAAAAAGTGTGTGTGTGTGTGTGTTCTTCTCAGTGCCTCACATCTGGAGGTACTTGTCAGTTTGTCTCATTATTGGTGTTCACCAGATTTCTCCTTTGGCAAAATACAAGTTTCTCTTTGTGATTAGTATGTTGCTTGTGGGGGTGATACTTTGAGACCATGTGAATATCCATGTTCCCCACTAATCTGTTGATGGTTTAGTATTTGTTGATGTTCCTTGTCTAAATCAATTATTATTGTAGGGTTATTTTCTATTTCTATTAGTTTTTCTATATTAGTTGGCATTCTTCTTCTGTAAAGAAGAGCTTTCTCTTTTCTCCCCCTCCCTCTGCCATATTTTTAAAAGCACATTGAAACTGGCTTTCGCACAGGACTGATAGGAAATTCCATCTCGATCATCTTGGGGGCATCTTCACCACCTCCTCACCCACCAGAGACTTATCAAGTTCCCAAGGGCCTCCACAGTGGTGGAAGTCCACTCTGGTCATGACGGCAATGCCCGTTATCCCAGCCAGGGGATGAATCTGCCTCTCTGGTGTTTCCACAGATTGCTGGGACAAGAGAATCGTTGACAACTCTGGGAGCCTCATGCCTAACATTGTGCCTCCATGGTGCCACCATGGAATGGTGTCCAACATCCAACCTGTGCTAAGCTTAGGGAAATCTCTCTTCCCTCTGGTTGCCCAGAGAGGCACCTATCTCTCTTCCGCTCCACTACTACCTCCATGACATCAAGCATAATGGGCTCAGTGTCTTGGTCTTTCACAATTTTGGCATTCACAGGTTACAGCTTTCTACACTCCAAGGAAATGTTAAGGGTCTGGTTACTAGCTTGAGATGAGGTAGCAGTGTCTACAAAGAATATGAAACAGGAGAAACTCAAATAGTTATCCTGTAATGTAGAATTTTGTGCAATGACCTGGAGTTAAAGCTATGGATAATAGATGTAATTAGGAACTAACATATGTAATTAGGAAAATGTGGTCTGAGTTCCAAAAACCTGACTTACAAATGAGCACAACTATTTGTAATAAGTAGACCCAAACAGCAATATGTGCATTTTATAATGGTTACTTACTTTGTACAAAGTAATGTGAATTTGCTTCCTTATATATTATTTCAATTTGATTTTCACTCAGCATCTGCAGACCACTCATTTGCCAAATCCTGTGAGAGGAATTTATTACATTATTTGATTTAATTTTTATTAAAGTTCTCCTAGAGCTGAATTTCTGAACCTGCCAATGTACCATACATTTTCTTCACATCCCTTCATGCAATTTGTGTGTGAGTGTATATGTGCATATGTGTGTGTGTACAGGCATATTCATGTGTATGTGTGTGTATACAGACATATTGGTTTATATACATATATTCATATACCTTAATTTCAGTATTCTAAATAAGACTACTGATTCTGCTCAATATGTAGATATCATCCATGAAGATTTTTTATCTTGATAGTACCTTTTACCTCATCCGCTCTTTATGGTCTTTGAAATGTATTTGAAAATACACAATATCATCAATTATTTCCTCCACTGTGTAGAAAGCCATACCCAGCTATACTCTCTCCTCCTTAATCCAAATCATTCTCTTTATGTGCTTTTAGGAAGAACAAAGGACCCGCTGAAGGAGAAGATGCCGAAGATAAACGTGCAACTGCAGTCACAGTTGAAAATGGCATCCCCTGTGATCCCCTCGACATGAAGGACGGGTGCCTGAACGATGCCTTCATGAATGAGGGCGAGCGGCTCACTCCTCTCTGAAGGCCTGCTGGCCTGCTTCCCCAAGAAGCTCAACACTGATTTCTGAACGACTGCCTAGCACCTCAGAATATCAAGGGCAGATGACGTATTTTGCTTCACCATTCTTCTTTTTAAAGAAATTTTTAATGCGCATGAAAATAAAAGGCAATTGATTACAGCAACAAAGAAAATTGGAATCGTACTATTCAAAATATTATAAAATATTGCTTTGACAGCACAAGTGCGTAAGTGTAGTCGGGTGGTGTTTGTAGTTACTGACTTAAAAATGCCTTAGTATTTAAGCATATCCAGAAATAAGCTCAGGCCAGTATATATACACACACACACTTAGAAAAGTATTCTTCCCAGTGAGAAATGTCTGTAATAGGGTGTAGAAATCGTTGAAAATGAATCCCTTTGAATATGTTTAATCACTCTGTCTATGACTAAGTAAGCAAGAGCAAAAAGTAATTATCGTAAATGAGATTGATAAAAATGGAAGTGTTATTATACAGGGTGGAATTTGATCCTGTTATCATCCCAACAGTTGCTTATATAGTTTCTGAATATCAGCCTCTAGTAGGACAGTTCTGTTTGTTGATAATGTCTGTGATTTGTAAAAGTCCAGTCTATGCTAATTTAATAAAGTGCTAATCTATCTTTTTTTGATTGCATGACTGATTGTGGTCTGAGATCTACTTGAATTTAACTGTCTGGGCTTGTGGCCTGGGCATTTTCACACTGAGGAATGTAGGAAGCCAAATTTTTATTGGTTAATGTTCAGTCTACTCTACATCCCTAGAAATTAATTATTTTTGTTGCATATATCCCTGTTGGAAGACACCTTGTAGTTTTTAGACTTGATTTCATTTCCGGAGAGGGCACATATCCTTCCATCCTTCCTTCCTTCTTTCTTTCTTTCCTCCCTCCCTCCCTTCCCACCTTCCTTCCTCCCTTCCTCTCTTCTGTATTCCTCCTTTCCTTCCTTCTTTTCTTCTACAATGGTGAGCAAAACCAAACACAAACCCTGCCCTCATGGAGCTGAAAGTTTACAGAGTCAGCGCTCAACAAATGTGTGTTAATAAACAAGCAAATGAGGTAGTAGCTGTCACAAGCCCATGGTCCCTCCTGGACCCTCTCCATTGTACCACCCAGGAAGCTGTACAGAAACAATGATGGGGGAGAAGACATGGGGACTGAGGAGACAGCAGAACATAACTCCTCTCCCTCTGACAAAATGGTAGGAGCATAATTCCTATCTGTTGACAGAACTAGGCTGCTCATTGGGCTGGTTATTGGTCTTTAAGGAATTATCTTTAAAACAAAAACGAAAAACCGTTGCTGTGAAGTCGATTCTGACTCATGGTGACCCCATGTGTGTCAGAGTAAAAGTGTGCCCTGGTTTTCAATGGCCGCCATCTTTCAGAAGTAGATCGCCAGGTGCCTCTGAGAGAATTTGAGCCTCCAAACCAGTTGAACACCACCCAGGGCCAGGAATCATCTAGACCACTGCTTTTCAAACTTTAATGTGCATATGAATCACCTGGGGATCAGGTTAAAATGCATATTCTGGCTCAGTAGCCCGGGGTGAGGGCTGAGATTCTGCATTTCTAACCAGCTCCCAGGTGAGGCTAATACTGCTGGTCCCCAGACGGCACTTTGACAGTGTTGGGGAAAAGTTACTAAAAACAAAATCTACCTCCAACGCAGAAAAACCTCTCCATAAAAGTAGAAGAGAAAGAAAAGTTTTATTATTGAATAAGCATTAAACCGAATATGAAGCATCACAGGCGATCCGTTAAAGAGATTGTAGTGGGTTGTATCCACTTTGCCAACCCCTGCTCTGGAAATTAGCTTTTGATGCAGATTCGTAGTGTTTCTTAATGCATTCAGCCTAAAATTACAAAGCAAAACAGCATTTATATGCAAAACGTAGCGGCAAAGCCATTTCAAAAACAATTAACGTTGTGTGCATCACAAGTAATGTCAAGCTGCTTTATACACTGCCCGTGCTGTCAAAGCTAAAACGAGACGGGCAATTGCTATGCCCTCACAGATTTGCAGTGGATCTGTTTTTCAAGCTCCAACCACAGTTCCAGAGCCCTGGTGGTTAAGAGTTCGGCTGCTAACAAAAAAACAAAAAAAGTCGGCAGTTCGAATCCACCAGCCACTCCTTGGAAACCCTACGGGGCAGTTATAGGACCCTAGTCCTATAGGGTTGCTATGAGTCAGAATCGACTCAATGGCAATGGGTTGGGAACCACAGTTTTAACTGTGTTTTTCAGACCTTGATGCAAGTGCAAAGGAAATTTCCACATTTCAAAATCCACCGAGCTCTGTAATTGAGGCGCTTCAACCTAACCTAAAATAGGCAGTGATTAACTTGCGATGTAATGAATAGCATGTTAAAAGGCAAATATCCAGAGAAAAATCTAACAAAATTTTACAAATGCTGCCTTCCAAGCAACAAATATGTTCATTTGAAATCATGTGCCTGTGGACTGATATCAGTATTTGGGAGTGCCTGTCTGTGTCAAAAGACGTTTTCAGAGATGAAATATGTAAAATCTTATTACAGATCAGCAGTGACCAATGAACATTTGCAATTAGTTTTGACGATAGAGAACACTAACTTTAGACCTCAATTAAGCTTATCTCCCTAAATAATTCCATTCTTATTGTCAAAACCAGTTGCCCTCGAGTGGACTCCGACTCATGATAATTCCATGTGTATCAGAGTAGAACTGTGCTCCATAGGGTTTTCAATGGCTGATTTTTCAGAAGTAGATCTCTAGGCCTTTCTTCCAAGGCACCTCTGTTACCGCAATAACTGGGATTGGAGCCGCCTGCCGCAATAGCCAATTCTGAGACAGGGGTGAGGTGAGCAGCAAGATGTTTATTATATATGGATATATAGGAGACAGAGGGGAATAGATTCCTCCAAAAAACCCGTCTCCCTCACTGGAGATCGGCTGAAGGCTTTCATGGGGACAGGATTATGGATCTTAGAAGTTTGTGTTAGTTTCCCCTTGAGGTGGTGATGTCGCAGATGAGTTAACCTTCTACTGGTATTCTTGGGGGTTATCTGGTGACATCCTTGGGGATTATCAGGCGACATCTTGCCTTTTTTTGTCACAAGATGGGTGCTTTGTTTGCTTTTTCATTCTTAGATCATTATCGCTTGTTTTCCACCCTCCAGGGAGGAACATCGGTTAATCTTAAACCTTTTGTAGAGACTGGAACCCAAAGGAAAAACAGAATCACGAGACAATGTGGCAGTTCGCAATGGGGAGTAAATAATAGTGAGCTGGGCCTATGCAGCCTCTTCCACCTCTGGGTGGATTTAAACCTCTAGTCTTTTGGTTCGCAGCTGAACATATTAACCATACGCACCACCCAGGGACTCCTTCTTATCATTGTTGTTGTTCTGCTGTTAGGTGCCATTGAGTTGGTTCCTACTCATAGTGACCCCATGTACAACAGAAAGAAACGCTGCCCGGTCCTGTGCCATCCTCATAAGACAGAAGTTCCCAGGCTGCAGAAAATTCCACTGCCTCAAATAGCTTGCTTGGCACGCCCCGTAGCTTTACATTAGAATCCTGGTTCCTTTGTTTGGCATGCCCTGTAACTTTCCATTAAAATCCTGGTTCCCTTCTCCTTAACTGCTGCCCCCAAACTAGAGGAAATTGGCAGAAACTGGTTTAGGCGCCATGTTGACATTCAGGATAACCTTTTAGACCTCATGCATAGTAACTTCCCCACCTTCGGGTGGAGTTTAACCACCATTTTCTGAACACAAAATGCATGAAGTTATATGTAAACCCCATTGAACCTGTGTAGTATGATTAAGAGTGTTGCTGATGTAACTTGTATGAAACTTCCTACTTGTAAACCCCTTAAAAGTAACCTTCCCCCTCACCCTCACTAAGCCGTCTTGGTGGCAGCAGCCTCAACTATCTCCTTTCCTTGCACAATGAAATAAAGGCGCCTTTCTACTCTCCCACCTTGGTCTCTCATTTATTGGCTGAGACGAGTCATGCCAAGCAGAACCTGGGGTTTCCACCTGGCAACGCTCACAATCGTTGCCATGTTTGAGCCCATTGTTGCAGCCACTGTGTCAATCCATCTAGTTGAGGGTCTTCCTTTTTTTCAATCACCCTCTACTTTACCAAGTATGATGTCCTTTTCCAGGGAGTGATTGCTCCTGATAACATGTCCAAAGTATGTGAGACTTCAGTACATGAGATGAAGTCTCACCATCCTCCCTTCTGAGGAGCATGCTGGCTGTACTTCTTCCAAGACGTAGAGTTTTCTTGGTTGTAATTTTTATGGAAGCAGATTGCCAAGCCTGTCTTCCAAGGCACCTCTGGGTGGGTTCGAACCACCAACCTTTCAGCTAATAGTGGAGCAGTGAACTGTTTGCATCACCCAGGGACCTTAAATTTGCGTATAGAAGTCTTTTAATTGGTAAAACATCATCTGAATCTAATCAATGTGCACAAGCAAGCATAACCCAAGACGTGCGTTCTTAACAGGGTGAAAATTGGTTCTTGTCGCAGGGAGAAAAAAACTTTAGCTATTACAGTGGTTTGTAGCCTTCCAAAGGGCAACAGTGTATGAACAGATATACAGTATATCTATGGTATTAAAATTTTATTAGGGAGGAAGGAGACTAGGAAAGAAATGTCAAAAAAGTCTCAATAATGAAAAAAATTAAAAAAGGTTGAGAAACACTGATTCTAGATATGCTTCTTACTTTGAAGGTGTGAGAGGAACCTAGTTTGATTACTAGATCACTTTATTCACTGTCTGTTTATTCTGCTGGTGAGGGGATTTATTCCACTGGCAAAGGTCTGCTCCATTAAACATCCTTGTTGGAGAAGTTTTCTACTCTAGCAGAGATGTGCTATAACCTTGATAGTCACTGTAATAGCAAAATGGAGTTTACGTCTCCTGCCTACTGCCTTTGACAAACATTCTGGGTAATTAGAGAGCAGTCAATCATCAACTACACCTCTATT